TCCTACACGGTTTGGCATGGACTCATAGAAATAAACGAAAAAGGCAGTGTGAACAAAGTGTTCCCATTACTGTATTTGTCATTTATATTATTAGTATACAGTACATTGTTCTATTAAAAACTACACTAAAGTGTAAATTTTGAGGTTAAAGTACAGACATACAGTGAACCCTCAGGATACATGATTTCTAAAACTGTCTTTTTTTTTTTTCCCCTAATTTCTAAATTTGAATTCTAAAGATCCTGTTAAACTAGAAGAAATGTGATAATTAAGGAGTAGGATGATATACTTCCAGGAAGGGAAACAAATCTTATTTTTTATGTTCAGCATTCAAGAGAACAGGGGAGTACAGAATTGTCAGTAAAAGTAAGAAACCACATCTCACAGTAAGTTTTTGTATGCTATATGTAATACATAGCTTTGTTTATTATGTTGTGAAAATTAAAAAGGTTAAAAACAGGAAAGAGTAAGTGAGGTTCACTGACCAACGATCATTTTAACAAAGATTTTATATTGGTCCTATCATTATACAAGCTCCTTTTGACCAGAAAGGCTTCAGGTCTTACCTGGTTTAGAACTTTTTGGAGATATGGTGTTCCCATGCGATCTGCCATGTGCCTGTATGCTGGGTGGGAAAGAAAAAATTTCCTTTCTGCTAGAAGAGCTGCCTTTATGTCCTTCTTCCCATCGATGTCTTTCTGGCTTCTGTTTACCACACCAATATAACCTAAAACAACACAAAACCAATGGGTAAGTCAATGCAGCTACTGCCTGAACTACTACATTCATATGAAATAGAACTAGAGTGCCTCAGTTCAAACAAAACTTTCCAATTTAGGCATTTCCAATACTGTTTACAAGTACTGCAATGACCATAACAGTGTCTAAATTGTTCATCCTGATTATGTATAACAGATACACTTCCTTTTAAATATCCAATTCAAATTCAGAAATATCTGAAACTTTGGTGCACTGCAAAGAAACCACTTCAAAAATAAGTCAAAAAAAACCAAACCAAAACAAAAACAAGCACACAAACAAACAACAAAAAAATCAACACACACATACAGGTCTACATAGATAAATTATATATTAGCAAAATACAGGAAAAAATTCTCATTTGCTGGACCAACATGCTCCATGGGAGGAGACGGTGGTCTCATCAATAAATTATAACTAGAACTAAAATTCTTGATGTTGTCAACAGTATAAGCAACTGCAGCAGTAGCTGCCAGAACAATCACATGGTCAATTTCTGGAAGGGGTCACAACTTGGTTTACAGTGAGACTACCAAAGCTCTGGTGTTTGCTTCTGTCATATACAAAGAAAAAAAAGATTATTTTGTTACAAACAACAGCAAGCTGGCACAGAAGAGAAAACTGGGTAACAATTTGTGCTGACATTTCTTGCTTCCTTTGCAACATGCAGTGTATTTTTCAGGTCTAGAAAAAAATTATTTTACTCGTCGGATATTTTTAGCAGAGCTGCCTTTTATGTTTGCTGAATAGATAACGATAAAAGCTGGGAACTCATCAAGTCCTGCATAACCTTTGATTCACCTCACCACTCCCAAAATCACCCTCATCCAAACCACCTTCTGGACTGTAAAGAATATAGGCATTGAACAGTCTCACCTCTACGAAGAGGGAGTAGTTTGTTTTCTAGAATTTCTCTTGCATCTGTTCCTTCATCCATCAGATCCAATTTTGTGATCACACCAATGGTCCTAAGGCCTAATCAGGGTGGAGGGAGGAGGAAAAAGATAGTGAAGAATTATTTATATTCAGTAAGAACAGTTACATCTTACAGTAATACAATAACAGGTGATGTTCTCAAAGCTTGTATCACACAATACAGCTACAACTGCAAGTTATGGTATGTCTGGAAAAGAAGAGATCATTATTGCCAGAGCCGAAATGTGTCCTCGAATCTCTTTAACAAGGCTCAGCATTCCCATGATATGACTGTATAAAATTTATGATGGAAGCATCCAGAAATCCCATCAGCACCATGATCCATTTTGCTAGGTACTACAAATATTTCTAGATAGGCATTGCCCCACTTGCTTATAAAAGGTAGTGACAAAATTTTAAAAATACATTTACAGCATTGTTTCCTGAATGATACTGAGCTAACAAACAGTTATTGTGGTGTTGAAGCCTACATGAGAATGTATATATACACATCTATATTATACATTATAAATTATATTTCACACAAGAGTTCTTCTATTACATCCAATTATGTTATTACACTTGAGAACAAAAAGATGTTACGTTCAATCATGCTTACCTTGAGGGTCCACTTCCTTAGCTAACTTCAGTGCATCTGAGTTGGCCAGATCAGTGTTAGCTGGAGTCACAGCCAGTATCAGACAGTTTTCTCGAGAGATGAACTGCATTATCATGTCTCTGATCTGTTGCTCAATATCTGGAGGCTGATCCCCTACTGGCACTTTAGTGATTCCCGGCAAATCAATAAGAGTCAGGCTTAATACTACATGGAAAACACAGGATCATAAAACTGGTTAGCATGCCAGACACGTCTAAAGAGGTCTACACATCTATGGCTGCAGGCAAATTTTAGTCACATAAACACCCACATTAATTACCTTTATAGATAAATAAATATTGTCCATAGTTCGAATAGAATGCCTGACAATCTGAAAAGTACACTTGTTTCCTTGTTGGTTTTTCATCTCTGGATTTATTAGTACTATTTAACATGTTAAACATCACAACTGGCATAGAAGAATGATACTTATACTGAATATCTTTGAAGGCTCTTAGACAAATGAACATGGCTTTCTGAGCTTTTTTCACCAACAGGAGCACAGACAACAGATAATTCCCATTGCATCTTTCAAATCAACCCAAAACAGGCTTTTTTTAAAAAAATTACACTCCTTCTCTACACCAGGCTTTCAACAGTGTCTCCAATTAAGAAATTCCAAAGAAGTCAAGAGCCAGCCTAACTTATATAGCAAAATTGTTAGAGGATTTCAGGGTATGTTGTTGTTTGGGGGGTTTTGAGTATATTTTTTTACTCTGTAACTTCTCAAGAAAAATAAGAAACATGAAAAAGTTTGTCCCGTAAGAAAACCTGTTTTGGTCTGGCATGATTTTCCCAGTACAGGCCACAATGCCAACTAGAAGCATCCTATCCTGTTAAGCCAGTACTGAGGTAACAGGGTATCTCTTAAACAAACCAGAAAAATGTGATTCCTAGAAAAGAAACACCAGAAGTATATTTGAGGTCTGGCTGATATGGACAACGGCCGCTGAACTAAAAGACTGATCCTAGCAAAATGAAGAGTATTAGGTAGGAAATTTTCACTTTCTCCTGGAGTCAGTATGTTCAGCAAACAAGCATTGAGGCAGGGCATTTAGTTCAGCTCCTCTCCAGTTTGGTACGCCACATCTGTATAGCAGAGAAGGGCTCAGAGGTGTATGTTTAGAGCCAAAGCTGCTCATGGTATATCAAAGGGAGGTTCATTATCTCTTTAATTACCTCTCCTCTTATTTTAATCTTTCTGTCCTTTGATTTTCAGTGAAGACATCATATGAGGAGGTTAGAAAAATAAAGTGCTTCAGCCAAACATATCACTTTTCTCCCATAGCCAAGATTCAATGCAAACGTTTTCTCTAGATTGCCTTCATTAAATTGGGCAGATGGCAACCAGAGGAACTAACTTTGATCTATACTGGGGGCCTACAAAGGAAAGCAGCTTCAAACATCATTATTGTCTAAACATATTTTTAGTGACAGCAAACAACAAACATCCAATAGGGCAGGGAGACATAATGACTATCTAGATCCTTGATCAGGGAATCCATCTGGAGGGTGTCAAAAAGAAGTTTTGACACTAAGTCTCCCATCTCCTATTATTTCTCTCTACTAGTGAGCTACTATCTAATGATATATGTTCTGGGGGGAGAGATTGGTTTCATCGTGATGCAGAGTGATAGTATTTTTAAATCATAAGAATATTAAATGGGACAGAAAGTCTGCATTCTGCCCAGCTCTAGTGGCAACAGCTCCCCAGCTCTCCACTGTAGAGTGGTTTCATAACACAGGAAAAGTTGAGGATTCTTCCAGATACATATCCACTTTTGCTTCAACTCAGCCTCAGAAGTTTTTCACCCCAGTAGACTTCTGATCGAGCAATGAGAACACATACAAAAAGAGACAGCTAGACAGACAGCGCTACCTAATATGTTACATAACAGAAATACAAAGTAGAATGATTTTACCTACCATGTGGAGAATATATTCTTAAATTAATAGGAATTGAAGAAATGCCTTTGTTCATTCCTGTTATTCTATCTGTTTCTACTTCAATTTCCTGACGAACTTCATCAAAATCAGTAAATTTTCTCCCTTTGCAGTGTAGAAATTCAGCATACTCTGTGAAAAATATCAATAGCAACTCTGTATTTCACAGGCTTACAGACTTGGACACTCACTTTCAAGCCCCTAGTATTCTTCAGATGTGTATGCACACAAGCGTGTCATCATGGATGTCAGGAAAGCTTTATATATAGCACATGCTATAGATATGATTGCACAGATGAAAACCAGCCTACAACAAGAAAGGGTTAGTTAAAAAGTCAAGTTCACTGGATATGATTTACTGCTTTTATCTTTAGCATGTCATCTTCTGGAACAACCTGGCAGATTCAAATAGATACAGTTTAACAGAATAAGAAACGGATTGTGAATCAGATTCTGAGTTTTCATCTGATTACATTTGCCTGTAATATGTCACTAAATTGAAGAAAAGTAATTCAAGTTCTGTATCGTGAAAGATTATTAACATGTTTTCAAAAACTAACAGCCCATATTACACACGACTTTAACAAAGCCTAAGTTCGCAATGAAAATAAGACCACTTAAAGACATTACAGTGTTTTTAACACAACTCCTCACTTCCTAAAAACTTCTTGTAGTCTAAATCCAAACCACGCTTAAGAAGTTTGTAAAAGCTTTTCTAGATATAGCTGTGATTTTGCTGAAGTGGGAGAACACAATGAATTCCTAAGTCTTCAATATCATACAACTTGCCCTCTTACCTTAAAAGGGCATCAACTAGGAACCAGGGATAGATACAGTCTAATTTGTTGGGCTCGAACTTGACATTATTTCCCTGTTTCCACTCTTGAATCCAAATACAGATACTGATTATTGCAACCTTATGGATTTCCCGCCCTAGAAGTGCATAACCAAAAGCACATCTCAGGATTTTAAAACTGGGGTTTCTTCCTTCAAAGCAGAACACAAAAGTTTATCTCATAGCAAGGCTGTAAGCTGAAATGACAACATAAATAGTAATCATAGATAGAAGCTCACATCCTGTCCCAATAGGGTCTAAGCAGTAGAGGGGAGAAAGGCTGAACAAAGTTGTGGATGTTCCAGTTCATTTCATCCTGCAGTCAAGGCCTGATCTCAAAGTTCCGTTTAGAAGTTTCTTCCTCAGAAAATGTTTCTTGGTAAAAAGCCCTCAAACACCAAGGCAAAGAGCATGCTTGGTACTCAAAGAAAGAACAGCAGCTCAGGAGACCTGATCCAAAAATATAGATTATTAGAGAGCTTTATGTATCAGTACTGAAGTTTGTTTCCCAAAAGTGACTTTATTACTATTGTTGACAGAGCTGCTAAAAAATACCCCAAAACCCCCAGTCAAACCACACATGAAATCATAACAATAGCTAAAGAAAACTCAGAGCAAAAAAAAGGAGAGAGAGGAGAGGAAAACAACAAATACCAACCTTTCTGTGCTCCATATTCGAATTGCTCCAGATTCAAAGTTTGAGGGACAGGGAAACCCACCCTTGTTAAGACAAAAATAATGCATCTCTTATTTTAAAAATAAGAGCATCTAACAAAAACCTCTATTTCACTTTTGACAGCTTAAGAATTCCAGAAGATCTTAATTCCTTTTTAACACTAGCAGCAAAATGACAATGAATGGGGGGTTTGTATGCTTCATTGCCAACTGCTTATAAAAAAAAAAGGAAAAAAGGAATATTCAAATATTTCAAAGTGAAAGTTTATATGGTGCACAAAGTAAAATATCTCAGTTGCTCTAGCATATTTCAGAATTCACATTTGTAAAATTTGTCATCTCAAAGTTGGAAAAGAGCTACCTACTGAAAAAAACAGCTGACGAGGTTCTTATTTTGTCCCAGTTCTTCATGCACTACTCCTGGCATAAAATGTATTCTTTTAGGTTTGGTGGGTTTTTTCAGGGGTTCATCAGATTTTCCCAGAAAAACATTTCAAAAATCAGTAATTAATACTTAGTGCCTAGCTGTAATCAGTTAACTGACTCAGCTGATAGACAAGGAAGCTTTTCTCTTTGTTCCACTTAACAGTCAGTAACAGAGTCCCTGTCTGAAATGGCTTTGAGGTAATTCAAATTAAAATGTTTGCTACTTTTTAGCTGTGTTCATAGAACCACAGAATGGTTTGGGTTG